GATATAGATATAGATATAGATATAGATATAGATATAGATATAGATATAGATATAATAATATAAATATAAATGATCATAGATGTCGATATAGATGATAAATCATAGATCATAGATCATAGATCATAGATCATAGATCATAGATCATAGATCATGGATATAGATATGGATGACAGATCATAGATTATAGATATAGATATGGATGAAAGATCATAGATCATGGATATAGATATGGATGACAGATCATAGATCATGGATAGAGATATGGAAGAACATATTAGTATAGATGTAGATACCATAGATTGTCTAGGCAAGGATTGGCTAGGAAGATATAGTAGCTCATAGAAGTACGGCTAAAATATCAAATTATAATATACTTAGATAGAACATATATATAAATATTGTTATAGATATAAGATACAATGCATTCACTAACGTCTCCCTTTTCTGTCCTACAGCTTGGAATGCCATCGTCAATAGCAAATACGTAGTGTTCTACAGCGATCAAGATGATTCGCAGCCGATGTAAACTTGAGAAGGAAACAACAACAACAACAACAAATGAACAAATCAGTTTAAACAAGAAATGAAACAAAGGAAAACAAAAGCAAAGCAAAGCAAATGAAAAGCAAGGCAAAGCAAAAATGGAAAACAAAAGCAAAAAAAAAAAAAACAAACACAAAATTATTTTATATATATGTTATGTTGCATGTATAATTGTTGAGAGAAACCATAGTTAGAAGTGTTGTTGTGCTGCTGGGTATTGTTGCCACAAACACACACACACACACACACACAAACACAGAAACATAAGCCAACTACAAACACATCAACTATACAAACACACACACATATATATATGTATATATGTATATATAGCTATATATATATGTATATATATATGCATATCTATATATCTATATAACTTTATATATTTGCTATAAAAAATACGCTTTTTACTCTAATTATATACTTGTAAAATTGTAAAAGCCCAACAACAATTGTACCATATGCATATATGTTTATATATATACATATATATCTTTATATATATATGTATGTATATATATGTATATGTATATATTCAGATCACCATTGAAAGCCTAACAGAATAAACAATAAACAACAAGAAATAAACAACAACAAATGTTTAACAACAACCAACGGACACCAAGTCAAGTCAGCAAAAATTGCGCCTAGAATAGTTTTATTGTTTTTTTTTTTTTTTTTCGTTCATATATGATGATTTGACTTCATTCAAATCGACAAAAAACATTAACAACTTATTTTGTTATAATTTTAGTTTATGGAAATCTATTTATTAATATAGATCTCTAGTTTCTATATATATATATATTTTTGGCAAACATTTTTTTTAAAACTACAAAATATGAATATGAAAAAAAAAAACAAAAAAAAAAAAACTGAATGAATTTGTTAGCACTATATAAATATATGTATATATACATATATAGCTCTATATAGATCTTTAGTTTGTTTAGCTTAGAGTCACGAGAAATGAGAAAACTTAAGATTCGAAAAATGTATGTAAATACAATGAGGTAAACAATTTCTGCGTTTATTTGTGTATTTAAAAACAACAACAACAACAAAAAAAAAAAAAAACAAGATATGATATATGTAATCTATGAAGATAAATATCTATATAAGTTTACATAGATCGTAAGCAGGCCAACACTATAGACAACAGCCATAAGCCTATATATAGAGTATGATAATGCTCGACTATGCTTAACAAAATCTATTCGAAATAGTTAAAACAAGAAGAAGAAAGATAACGATATGTATCTATATATATATAGTTCACAATATAACATAAACATAAATCAAAGCAGTGGCCCTATATACATACATATATATATATATATATTTGAAAAAAAAAAAAAAATGAATTTTTTTTTTTATAATTAAATAATTTGAATACATATATAAAAACCTATAACTAAATACATTTACGATATGCCTAAATAAAATATGAAAAACAAAACGTAAATCGTTTTAAAAGTTAATTTAGAATGTAAGCAAGACGACAAGAAATGAAATTAAAAACTTGCAACAAAAAATTTAGAAATTATATTTCAAAAATATTTAAAAATAAAAAGAAAACAAATTTAATATGTAAGAAACAGAAAAAAGGAAATAAAAATTATGTTTCAAAATACTTTAAATCAATATAAAAATCTGGAAAATTGGAAAAATTGGAAAAATTGCAAAAGGAAAAGCAAGTTCAATGAGCAAAAATGTAGCACACATAGCGCTGTCTCTGTCACATGCATGCCGAATGAAAGACAAAGATAGAGCCAAGGAGAGCGAGAGAGGGAGCAGTTATGTGCTGGGCTATATATGACTAAATGTTTCTTATGTACGTGTATTTATGTAATATATAATATTAAAAAAAAAAAAAAAATATATATATATATATATATAAATATATACACATATGTATATCAGCAAATCTAGATGTGTTTTGTGTGTATATAAATGCAAAAGAGAAAAATGTACTTTGGTGTGCATGCGTGCATGTGCGTGCGTGTGTGTGTGTGTGTGCGTGTGTGTGTGTAAATTTCCCCTTTGAAAACGAACATTGTGCAGGCGCACAAAAGCTGAGCGCTATGGCACTCAGCTGAGCGGTTTATATTGTTCTCTATGAAATGCGGCGCGTGCTTTTGTTTTTTGTTAATCTCTATTTTTTACAGACCAAAGTAGAGTTAACTATATAAATTTTACTTTGTTAAATGAGCTTAAAAACTAAGTTTATGCCAAATTATAAAAACCTTAAAAAAAACCCAATTAACGAGTGAGTGCTAATGTTTTATAATTATATAAGAGTGTGTGTGTAAGCACTAAGTTTATATAAATGTATACTTCTATATATAACTCTACTACTATTTACTATTAAATTGCTATATATACTATTACAACTAATATAAATATATAAATATATATATATATATATATAATAAAGTAAATAAAATATAAATAAAACAGAATTAACAATTACCAACTACAATTATAATTAAAGAATACTTAAAACGATGAAAAGCAAAGAAAACCAACTACTACTTATAGAGTAGATGCCTAGCCCATCTCTTAACTTATACAATACATACCAAACTATTTGTACATGGAAACCCAACTAAATAAAAAAATAAAAATAATAATAAACAAAATTTTAAAATTAAAATTAAAAAAATTTAAAAAACAAAACAAAATATGGGCATTTAGAATTTAAAATTCGTTTGGAATGCAACAAATTTTCAGACCTTAAAAATACTATTAAAAAAAACATGGAAGATAATTCGTAGTTTAAAAACAAAAAGGAAAAAGAGAATAAAGTGAAAATTGAAAAATGTGTTTAAAAAAAAAAATAATATTAAATGAAATATGTGTATTTCAATGATGAATCGAATAAAACGAAAAGAAAGTAAATAGATCATAAAATCAAAGTCAGATATGCTGATGGATATATATGTATATATATCTATGTATATATATCTGTACACATATGCATATATCTATGTATATATACCTATATACATCTGTGTATATAGCCAAGATAACGGTGGAGCCCGCTCACGGTGAAAGTCACAGAGAAAATATGTAGGATTCAGAGTTAAAAGAGATTTAAGTGATGAGGCCTACAAAAAGTTTTTGGCTAAAATATTCATTTATATACCCTGAGCCCATTGAAAATGGGAAATCAAAACTATGTAACAGGCAGAAGGAGGCGTGGCACACCTCAAGATGAGCACTTCTCAAGATCAACCAAAAGCAACAGCTCTTTGTTCTACATGTCTAGTCTATGGGTTCTTTGGTCAGTGGTCGGAAGAAGAGAAGAGAAGAGAAACCAAGTTCGGGGATGGGAAGGGGACGTAATTTTTATTTCGAAACTTATTTTAGTTACTTATTTTTGCATTCAGTTATAAATTTAGATGATATTTCAAAGGAAGCGACTTTGGGGAAAGGGGAGGGGATGTTCTATTAGCTGATTAGATCATGAATATCATTTTACGAATTTGACAATTTTGATTGATGCTGGACAACGGCCGTGCGATTGCGCGCAACGTGCGAACTATGGCCACGCCCAAGGCTGGGCAAGAGTTTAATTGGATTTGGGTCGCGATGGACGTTGATCATCACCTTGGCCACAATCGAGATGACGCGATCCTGCTCACCGCTCTTATACAGGGCATCCAGATAGTCAAAGTACGATTCATAGCGTGCAAACTCTCGCTCTTCCGGCGCCAGCAATAGAATTTTCGTGTCACGCTGAAAGTCGGTTATGATATTGAGATCCTGTTCCATGAAGCGACAGAAGCCCGCCGACTCGGACTGCATACAGCGAAAGAACTTGTTCAAGAGATCATACTGAAAGGTCTTGCTGGCCTTCCGGGGCGACTTGAAGTTGGGCTTCTTTATTTTGGAGATGAAAGCTTTTGGCAGCCGGGGCTTGCGCTGCTGCTGCTGCTGCAGCTGCTGCTCTCTTATCTGCGACAGCTCGTGCAGGTGGCGATAGTCGTCGATCAGGGAGTCGCGTGCGACACCAACAGACGCCAGCTCGTCATCGGTAAGTATGTCCAGATTGTAGAACTTGGAGATTTCGTCATTGCTCATTTTGCAGCAACCTTTAAATTTGAGCTTTTGGTGATTAATATCTGCGGGGGAGAGTTCGGAGAGAGGAGGAGGACAACAGCCGTGAAGGTATGTTCTCGATTAAAGAATGAAGTATGAACGTAATTTACCAGTTGTATTGCACATTTTTCACTATTTTGTGTGTCCTATTGTCTTTTAAGAATTAGAAACTATATATAAATATGTTTTGTTTTTTTCAAATATTTTGTGTGTTGACGCTATGAATTTTTGTTGTGAATGAGGGCCTTCTATTATTTCATGTTATATGTCTCCATCGATTTGATAACTATTCCAAATGGAAGCTGATCCGAATTTTGACTTGTAACGGCAAGCCCGTGCATGGAAGTAGCGCAAGCATTATTAAATGGCTACAACAGCGTGTGGTGCAGACAACGGGCATATGAGAGCAAAACGGTTAACATCGTGAGCATTGCTTAACGTTTATGGCAACATCAGCCTGTTGGAGCTGTCTGCGCATGCCCTTCCAAGCGGTTAAGTGAATCGGAAAATGCAACAAGTAGATGTTCAGGTATGCATATTATATTATTTTTATGATATTTCTTATAATAATTCAATTCAGTTAAACGACTTTGAATATAGCGATATTTGCGGGCCAGCGATAGAAACATTGCATAGCGATATATACATCGCGGCTTTTGCTGTAGCTATCGTATATCGATATAAGCATACACTAGCTATCTTTTTTATTTTTTATGCACCAATAGCACAAAAGTTGTTAAAAATGTCATAAGTTCTTTTCGTTGATTTATTTAAAAATAAATTTTAAATTATTTGTATATAACTGAATGTGTGTCCTAATGCTGCGCTAGTGCAGTGGAGTGTTTTAGGTAAAGGGCAGCGGACAAAAGCAATCCACAGACAATCCAACTGGCAGCGCATTGTAATTATGTTTGTTTTCGTTTTGTTTGTTTAGCCGCAGTGTGTGTGTGTGCGTGGGACGTGCGCTGAGTTTTTTTTTGTTTTGGAGTAACCTAGGCGAAATTAGATGCTGAGATGTCCGAGGTACGCATTCGTCCACGGCAAGTGCTCGTGCTGATCATCGTGTTCATTGTTGTGCTGCTGATGGTTCATCGCAACGGTAAACACACCTGCCAGGGCCCCGCTTACCTGCAGGCGATGTACAGCAAAGCTCAAGCGGACACGTTGCCCAAAATCTACGCCATAACGCCGACGTATGCTCGGCCAGCACAAAAAGCCGAATTGACCAGGTGAGCTGCGATGTTGTTGTATTTGTATACCCTGTAGTGCGTGAGGTAAATGGTTGGGATGTATTTGCTTATGTGCATGTAGCATAATAAAGAAGGCGTGGCCAAATCCTTTGTGCATACATATAAATAGATGAATGCACATATACATATATACATATATTTTCTGTGGCATCTATTTTCATACTTCAACAAATCTATCTGTATGTCTGTCTAGGCGCCTTGCGGCTTTCCCGTTCTCCTTTTAAAGCCTTGCACTCGTATGTGTCCTGCTATCGCAAACGTGGATCACATTTACTATCGATAACTTTTGGGTTTTCTTGAATTGGATCGATTCAATTAGACCATTTCGTGCACTTTTCAAAAGATTGTTGACGAATGTGATAAATATAATTATTATACATGCTACATATACATACATACAAACATAAATATATATATTTATTATGTACATACAATTTCTCTTGCCAGGCTATCGCATTTGTTTATGCTGGTGCCCAATTTGCATTGGATCATTGTGGAGGATTCGAACAGCACAACGACTCTGGTGCGAAACGTATTGCTGCGCGCCGGACTGGACAATCGCTTCACGCAGCTGAATATCAAAACTCCGCCGGAATTCAAGCTGCAGGGCAAGGATCCCAATTGGATCAAGCCACGCGGCGTTGAGCAGCGCAATCTGGCCCTGACCTGGCTGCGCAGTAATGTGGATGCGGAGCGCCATGCCATTGTCTTCTTCATGGACGACGACAACTCCTATTCCGTGGAGCTGTTCGCTGAGATGTCCAAAATAAAGCCCGGCCGTGTGGGCATCTGGCCCGTTGGCCTTGTCGGCGGCCTGATGGTCGAGCGGCCGCTGCTCAACGATAACAACCAGGTGACGGGCTTCAATGCCGCCTGGCGGCCAGAGCGACCGTTCCCCATCGACATGGCCGCCTTTGGCATTAGCATCGATCTGTTCTTCAAGTATCCGCAGGCCAGCTTCTCGTACGAAGTGCAGCGCGGCTACCAAGAGAGCGAAATCCTACGTTATCTAACCACACGGGAGCAGCTGCAGCCGCTGGCCAACAACTGTCGCGACGTGCTCGTCTGGCACACGCGCACCGAGAAGACCAAGCTCAGTGCCGAGGAGGCGCTGCAGCGCCAGAACAAGCGCTCCGACGAGGGCATCGAGGTTTAACTGACCCCTCGCCTGTCCACCGCCCAGCCGCAGCCGCAGCATCACGATCTAAAGAATTTACCAACTCAGTGTTTTGTGTATTAGAATATAAATTTATAGAGGTATATATATATAGTATGTATATATATATGTATTGTATGTATATTCTGTTTTGGCAAATGTATTATAAGAAACAAAACTGTTCAAATGTTTTAATCAAATTTTATTCGAGTTACCTTTAAGCCAAATATATTTTTGCCTTGTAGAAAAACTGAACAAATATAAAAATATATATATGAAATATATGAAAGATTTCCTTGAATATATATAAACATATAGATGTATTTACAAAATAATATTTGTAAATACAAATATATGTCGATAAGCTGTCAGATTAGTCTAATCTGGTCTGAGATAATGATATACCATATGAGATTATGAAACCCAAGTTCAATTTAAAACTCTAAATAAAACACATTTTTGCATTTCCTTTGATAAATACGACTTTATTTCCCAACAATTCAGTTTCGTGGGCTTTTTTTTTTATTATTATTATTTTTTTGTATTTTTTTGAATTTCCATTTGTAATATTTGATAAAAAAGCTACACCCTCGGTAAATCTCGTGTCGATTTAGTCAATTTGCTCGCCATATTTTATATGCTTTGGGCTCTGTCGTATGCAGTTCCCATAAAAATGTCCACATCATATACATAAATTACAGTTACAATTCAGTTTTGGTTTCTGTGTAGCTCTTTCGATAGTTTTCTTAGCTTGTATAATATTTGTATAGATTAATCTTCTTCTGTTTCTGTATTTTTTTTTTTTAATATAGTAGGTAAAAAAGCTCTGAGAAGGCGCTTGGCTTAACTGGCAACAGAAGCTACAAAAGCTTTTGGCAAAACATCTACAAAACGGGACGAATTCAAAAGTAAATGAGAAACCAAAATTAACATAAAATTCAATTTTATTTATATTTTAATTAATATGTATATATATATATATTTATGTATATATATAGAGTTTTATGTAGATCCTTCTTGTATATATATATATATAAATTGATTTTTTCATTCAAGCTTTTTGGTTTTTATTCGTGTAAAAAAAATTACTTACATCTTAAATTGTTTATGTTAAATTAAATACTTTTTATTTAATTATTTAATTCATTTCTTACTTATATACCTTTAACTTTTTCTTTCATTTTTTACAAAAAAGAATATGTATATATAAAAATTATTAAATTATTAAAAATTGAGTATATTATATCATAATTTTCATTTGTTTAGCTTCATTCTTGTTCTTCCCTTCCGAATGTCATGAAAAAAAAAAAAAAAACAACTTAGGAAATACAATATTATGTAAAATGTAGAGAGTAGAAATTAATACAAATTGTTTTGGCATTGTCGTAGTTGAAATTTGCTTGAAAATCAAATGTTTTTATAAGTAATTTTCTTATTTGTTTATTATATTTATTACACATTCATTAAAACATTCACTTGAACATTCATTTAAACATTTATATATGTATATTTTCTTGAAACTTTTCATTGAACGGTTTTTATTTTATTCTTAGAAATTTTTGAGTGCTAACAAATTTCCATGGAAAATTGAAGGTTACAAATTTTGAAAATTGAAATTAGAAAATATGAAGAGTTGTGGTAAAAAAAAAAATGGAGCATGCTTATTTCATTTTCAATTTCTTTCATCTTACATTCTGCATTTTTGAAATCCCCAATTGTTTGTTTCAAATTAAAAATTTTCAAGCTCTAATTTATTTTCTTTATATTCAAAGTTTTAGTTTTCCGTTTTTCGTTTGATCAAGTTCAAATTTTCCATTCTCAATTCTAAAGTTTTTAAAATTTGCATTAACTTTTAAGTTATTATTTTTTTTTTAATTTCAATTTTTTCCATTTGTAATTCTCAATTTTCAATCTGTATCTTTTTCCGTAACACTTTCCATTTAAGTTTGTTCTCTTTTGATTTTAGTTTTTGTTTTGTTGGCAGTGTTCGAATGCAGCTTTTGTAGCTGACTGTACTAGTCAAGCAGTTCAAAGTCGGCCTCAGTGCTGCTCATTCAAGCAGTGTAACGGCTGGATTCTCTACAACAAGCAGTTCATATTGACTTGTTAAGCTTTTCGGAGATCCTCTGCCAACGCGATACTCGCCAAGCTGTTCAGCTTTTGCCACCGACTGTACTTGGCCAGCTAACAGTTCTTTTATTCATGTGCCAAACTGCATTTTTGTCCTCTACTTTTGGCTTTTGTCGCAAACTGTACTTGCTATTTATTAGCACTATCAAACATTATCAAACATTGAGCATTCCATTTATATAACTAACATACATTACATACATATACATATATAATTTGTATATATATATATCAATATTTATGTAATTCGTACAGTTTTATTATTAAGTAGATGAATTTACCAATAGGAAACGAAGACGCATGCGATGCATAAAAATAATAAAATTCAAATCTTTTCTGTCCAATAAGTTGTCATGTGTGAAGTAAAAGTCTTTTCTTCAGTGGTTTTAAGTACTACGAAATTTTTGATGACGTTGTGTGTGTGTGTGTGTGAGGGTGTGTGTGGTATATGCATATGCTTGAACTTAATGTTTAAACTTATTTATGGCATGTTTAAGTTAGTTAAACTAATATTAGATTTTTGTTTTTCTCATTTTCTTTTTGTAAGGCATTAATTTAAGTTTCTTAAGCTAAAAATGTGTGTGTGTGCGTGTGTGTGTGTGTGTGGTTGTGGGTATATGTATTCTCTCAATTGTTGTCCAGTCTGAAAAAGAATTTAAGCTAATTGCAGCGAGTGTATGAATATGCTAAGTTGAAGCAACATGATCGAATGCGATGTGTACAGAGCTTAAAATACTATTCAGATATCGTATATGTATATATATATATATGTATGTTTGTGTGTGTGTATATATAGTTAAGACATTTAGTTAAGATAGAACTTAAGGAAACTAAACATCAACTCGTAGAATCATACAATAAAAAGGTGTTCCCACAGCTTTGGCTTCAAATTCTTGTCTGTTTTCCTATATGTGTGTGTGTGTGTGTGGGCTAGACGACAGGTAAATACATATATATTGTAGGTATATATATATAGGTGAGTTATGTGTTGAGTTGCTGCTGCTTCTTCTTCTCGATTATTTGTTGTTTGTTTGTTCAATACTTTTCTCAGTTGCAAGTTTTGTGCACATCATCTCTATTCTTTCATCCCGTTTCCCCACTTCATCGCGCTTAAACGGCTGAGTTTTTGCCAATGATTTCGCCGCTGCGCGAGTGCACGAAACGTCCATCGAACTCAATGGTTGAGTTCTGTTTCAAGCTGCCGGTGGGCGTGCGCAGAGGCTCCTTTTCGTCCCTGTGAATGCGAAAGTTGCGATTAGTATAAGAGAAATAAGCTATGTAAACGAGAGAAAGAGAAAGAGAGAGAGAGTGGAGCAGCAAAGCATTCAGACTGGCCAGAGCAAGCCAAAGCTTTTTGCTATGCTGCCATGGCGGCTAAGCCAGACAAAAGGCTGATTGCTACAGCCAGCAGGCAGACAAAAGCTAAATGCTACAGCTTAAGCTAAATAGAAAGGCAAAAGTTAAAAGCAAAACAGATCAGATCAAAAACGACAAAGTTGCCGCGGCCGTTGTCGGCAGACAAAAAGCTAAATGCTACAACTTAAAGCTTAACGACAAAAAACTACATACTACACGTAGTGGCAAATGTACAGTGCATTTATGATTAAGCAGGACAAAAGCATGTGAGATGAATAGTGTTGAAAAACGCAAAACGCATAGAGATGTGTGCGAGAGAGAGAGAGAGCGAGCATAGAGACATATGTTACTGTTACTAGAGAGCTAAGCAGAAAATCAAAACAAAATACGATTGATGTACGTACAATGGAGATGTCACTGGTGAGCCGCCGAGCTTAACTGGCGGCGGCAGTGGCAACGGTGATGGCGGCGGCTCCTTAACCAGCTGTCCACTGCAATAAGGTAGCGGGAAACGCCAACCATAAAGACTGCTTGGTTAGATGTTGATAATTTTGATGATTTTTGTTCAATTTTTTTTGTTTTTTGTTTGTTTATTTTTTGATATTTTTTTATTTTTGTCATTTGGTTTGGTTTGGTTTTTGTGTTGGATGATTGGAACAGTACGTATGAGGTTGATGAAATCAAGAGAGAGAGAGTATAGATTGTATGGAGAGTTCGGTAAGTTGTGGCTATGTAAAAGGTAGGTGAATGTATTCTAGTTTTTATTTTTATCTTATGGCTGTCTTCGTGTGTGTGTGTGTGTGTGTGTGTGTGTTGAGATGATTACAAATAAATGATTGATGATGTACATAAAGAAGACGATCTGAATAATAACATGAAACAAGATCAAAATGTCGTCTCCAAATGCAGCCAGCAATAGTTCTACTAGAACCTAGACCTAGATACTATATGTGAGTGTGTATGTGTGTGGTGTTAGTGTGTTTGTGTGCTATATACTATGTAGCAGACAAGGCACTTCGAGCTGAAGAAGTATTTTATTTCAGTGTTTACATAGACTAGACTCTAAGACTAGATAGCTGGCTGCATAGGACTGAGACTAATAATGTGTGAAAGTGAAACACTAAGTAGAAATCAAAATGAAATGTATAACATATATATATATATAGATATGTATATCGATAAGTATCGAATACACACACGCACACATATAACATATAAGGTAACAGTGTTGGCTAACACAACGTAAGGAAAATAGTGTTGGAAAGGAAACTATCTATATATGTATCAATTGAAACAACTAAAGCAGTTCGTGTGTGCTTGAAAAGAAGTTGGAAAAATATAACGGTACTTTCGGTCTGTTTCACGTGAACTTAATAATAATATTGCACCAGAAATGAGAGAACAAAACGTGAAAGAAAAACTCAAGCAGTAAAATGGGATATGTGAACAGAGTATTTTTCGAATTTTGTTTTGTTGTCAATTTTTGTTTTGTTTTCGCTCAGTTTGCTCAGACGAATATTAGGGAATTTCGATTGAACAACAACGATTTAGGACGCGCATAGACCCAATTGTATTCGAAATCCGGACGTTGAGAATTTTGGCTTTTCGAAAGTAGGCAACAAAATAAATAGAAATTGGAAAAGAAAACAAACAAGAAATAGGGAATAATGAGGAAAGAGTTTTTGTTGTGGTTTTGCTTCGTATTTTTTTTTTTTTTTTCGAATCATTTCTAATGCAATATTATCGTAGCATCAGCAAGATATATATAGCTCTATATACATATAGCTGTGTTCAGTCAACTCACCTGCCCAGCTTTGCCTCGTCGTCGATCTCCGAGGGCGAGCGCTTGGCCTTGCGGCACATCGCGGCCATCACGCCCATATGCACCGTTATGCAGCACAGCAGATCCACTATGAACAGCAGCAGGAGGACGCCGCCCACGGCGATGCCAACGATGGCCGCCGAGGAGAGCACCTGGCGTTCGGCTACCTGAATGACATCGTTGCCTATGTCCAAAGGAAGAGAGAACGAAGAATGCGAACGTGTGTGTGTGTGTGAGTAAGTGTGTGTGTGTGTGTTTGTGTGTGTGGGAGGGTGTGGGAATAGAAAGTGCTTGGATTAGTATTGTCTTTGTCATTCAAGTCTTGCAAGAGAACTGATCTCTATAGATCGTATATTATATAGAGTATATATATATATATATTAATATAGTGGCATATTTTAAATACTAAAAACTTATAGATTATGGTATATATAGTATATATGTATATATATATCTATAGTAAGCATACGTGAGCTACATGGAGTGTGTTATTCCAGGGTATCTCAAATTTGACAGCGAGCCAAGAGCCAAAAACTAACTCGAGTTTGATTCGAAATTCAGTTTGTCAAAGGGCAAATATATACATACATATACATATATATTTGGTATCTTTGTATTACAATTTAAAATACTAAATATGTATATATCATGTATATATATTTATGAAAACTATATATATATCGGAATAAATATGTGTATAAAATATATATTTGATATTTTTGTTTTTGAATTTTAATTGTTTTTTTTTTTTTTTCCAGTATTTTTGCATTATTTTTCAGAGTTGTTAAATTTTGTACAAACATTTACATTTTTGTGTGTGTATTTCAAATGATGATATAACAAACTTAAGCATTTTCCATTCAAATTAAAACTAAAATTAAAATTGAGTTTTAAAATTAAAAACATTTCACAAATAAAAAATAAACAAGTTTGGTTAAAAAAAAAACATGCTGCTTTCAAGGGCAGGTTAGACAGAGAGAGAGAGAGTTAGATATAGGCAGACAGTAAGACAGAAAAAGGGAGAGTTAGAGAGAGAGAGAGAGAGAGAGAGAGAGACAGTTAGAAGTGAGATAGCAAGAGAAAGTGTGAGATAAAGCATATGTGAGAAAGCGCATTAGGTGGAGGCTGCAAAGCAACAAGGATTAAACATGAAATGCCAATAAGCCAAATACAAAAGAAGAAGAAGCAAAATATGAAGAAGCTGAAGAAGAAGAAGAACAAATATACAAGCAAAAGCAATTTTATACAATTTGTACAAGACGTGTGTGTGTTTGCGTGGGTGTGTGTGTGTGTGTGTGTATAGAAGCTGGTATACAGAATGATAACGATAACGATAACGATAACATAGGTTTAGTGCGCTCCAACAAATTTCGGGTTTTGATTAGTTAACAACAAATTTCGGATTTCGAATAAAGATATATGTATATACATATATAGTAGGAGTACATATATATATATGTTTGTATATACCTATCTAATTTAGTTAGACTACAAGGAAATTTAGTTATTGTTTGTTTAGTATCAAAATTGATTTAGAATGCGTTTTAGAGCCGATGCCGTTTGTATTTGGTTTAGTTAGTCGTTTTTTTTTTAGTTGTAATCGAATGCGTTTTTAGATTGTGTTATTTAAGATCGATTAATTGAGTATATAAATAAATATATGCATATATTAAGAGATAGTTAGATAGAGAGTGAGAGAGAGAGAGAGAAAGAGAGAGAGAGATAGAGAATAAACTAGTATTAGTTATGATAAATATGTATTTAACGAGCTAAAGTTGTTGCATAACCATATTACCTGTCGGCATTTGACTGGGGGCTGCACGGCCGTTGGTTGGTCGTACGATAAACGAGTTATCGATAACAAGAGCTCTCAAGTTTTTCTTTGCTTAAAGTTGCCTTTATTATCCAAAATGAACTTTGCATATTTCGATTTTGATTTCGATTTATCTTTTTTTTATTTCATTTTATTTATCGACTGCTTACAACATTTATATGACACTTTTTTCTACTGCTTGGTGTGTGTGTGTGGTGTGTGTGGGTGTGTATGGGTGTGTATGTGTGTGGGAGAGCCAAACTGTCTCTCCGATCGTAGAGTACTCATGTTTAGTAGCATTAAAATTGAACTGATGGCTGACTGACTGTCTGACATTTGGCTAAGAGTTATAAAACATTTATGTACAGTTGGGCATTAGCTAGCGAACTGCTTGATCAACTGCTTGCGCTACAGGATACAAAAAAAAAAAAACAAAAAAACATTTCCCCCCTCTTGCGGAGATTACGATACGATCTGCTCAGCAACGTTAGGCGGGCTGAATTATTCACTAACTATAGTAGATATACTATATGTATACTGATATATAGATATATGTATATAACCTTTGTATATGGTAAAGTTACAAATTGGAAATATGTTTCACGACATATATATATATGTATGTATATATATATCAATATTTGGCTAGAAAAAGTTTTGGGCTTTCTTGTTGACTAAAAATTGTATACAAGGAATATTTTTACTAAATTGAACTCGTTTATCTTATTTGCCTTTTGCTAGTTTTCATAGTTATAGATCATACATATATGTATGTATCTATATACGTATATGTATGTGGTTTATAAACCTTAAATTTCATTGAGCACAAACATTTACATTAAGCTAAATACACCATGTGAAAAAAATTCGTAGTTGGAAACATATGTTTTTAGTAATTCTTTTCATTTTTGTGGGGGTTTTTGTGATGCTTAATTACCTCAGATTAGCCCTCAATATGGTATTACTAAAGTTCTTAGTTATTTTTTTTTTTTTTTATCAATTTATATATTTTATTAGATAAATTTTTTCGTTTCTTTTCAGTTACTTATTGTCCCCTAAACGTATACGTTCAATAGAGAATAAAATTGAAAAAAAAAAACTCAGATTCAAACTACCCGAAACATAAACTGGAACAACTTGGGCTTGTAATACTTATAACACGGTGGTGTGGTCTCTTCTTCTTCTTATAACTTCATCTTGATCATCATCATTTGCAACATCTTTTTTTTTTTGAGCTAAACAGAAAGGAAGCCTGATATAAAATTGAAGACTTCTTCATATATATACCTGATGTAAATATATATATATGTATGTATATTTAACTATAAGAGAACCTGGTTATCTACATACTCTCTCCGAAAACAAAAACAACCGATGGAATCGATAACAACAATAATTGCTTTTGATTGGCAGTGCTGGCTTTTTTTTTCTTTGTTGGTATTTTGCGGTATTTTTTGGTAAACAACAAACTGAGTTGCATCTGACGGACAGCTAAAACGCTAAGTTAACTTAGATATTGGTAAGTACATGCATGTCCGGGTGACCAAATAAAACATATGTCTACATAGAGCCAAAGTTTTGATAAATATACATATATGAAAGTTTCCCCAAAGACGACTCTTAGTAAGAGACTTATTTTTTACGACTCTTCCTAATCGAATGGCAAATCTTCTAGCAAATTTCTACAACTCTCTTTTATCGATAACTTAAGTAGAAGCTTAACTGTAGTTATCGGCAAGAGTATCGCTCTTTGTTTTGGTCACCCCATGGTATGTGGCTATGCTTATGTGTTGGTACTAGCTTTCTTAGTATGTTTTGTAGTATTTTCCTCTTTTGGCATTTAGCGGCTTGTTTGTACATTGAATGGAATCATCATAGTGTCTATAGAGCAGTTATTTTCGTAACATTCTAGTGATAGTTAGATAATTAGTTCTCATATGCTGTTGCTACTATAGCTTAATATATGTATGTTAGTATGTCTCGGTTTCTGTGTGTGTGTGTGTGTGTATATGTATGTAATTAAGTATAATTCATTTGTTTGGTATTTTTGGTATTTTGTTTTTGTTTTTCGTTTGCTTATTATTTATATACAATTGTCGATAGATTAGAAAAAAAAAACACGTTTAGCAGGCCTCAAAGCAACATCAGATTGATCCGCGCATGCACTGCTTGCCCCACTGCTTAGCCAGAGCGCAGACACATCGAGAGCAGCAGCAGCAGGCCCAGCGGCAGCATTGGCATCGCTCGTTGTAAAGCAGTTTGCTGGCCAAGCAGTCCTTTCGTGGCACTGCTTGATGAGTACGGGTAGGGCTTGTCTGTGTTTGCGATTGGTGGAGGATAAAGGCAAACGGGCAAGGGGCAAAGGCAAAGGCAGAGTCACAGGCAGAGGTACAGTTACAAGTCGGATATAGGTACAGGTACAGGTTCGGGTACAGGTCGAGGTACATTTGTTTTTGTTTGTTGCATTTCATTTCATTTTTTTTGTTTTGTTGTTAAGCATTCGATTTTGTTTTGTTTCGGCATATATCACACAGCGTAAAAGAGAGAAAAAAAAATACAAAGAAAAGTAGTAGAAGAAAAATAGGAAGAAAAGGAATCACACAAAAGAAGATTTTGTTGGTTGGTTGTTTTTTTTTTTTCATTTCATTGCATTGAATAAGTTCAAAAAGACGACGACGACGATCAAAAAGACGCTCAAACATAATGTGAGTGTGTGCGAGTGTCTAATATATATATATGTATATATATGCGTGTGTGTGTGTGTGTTTGTATTTGTTTAAGTATTAGAGATTAGTGGGTGTATTTGGTTTGATTTGGCATTGCTTTGTTTACAGTTTGATAGCTACGCTCAAAGTGTTTACTGTTTGTTTTAGTATTAGATTAAATGTAGTTAATATATTGTATATATATATATGTATAACATATATATACAGGCATTAAATTGTAGTTAGTATAGGTTAAATTAGCTATTTATATTAAATTATAGTATATATTAATAATATATGGAGCATGAATATGATAATGCAATATGAAATGAGTGCGATAGCGAGAATGAGAAACACAGAGAGTGAGAGAGAGAGAGAGAGTGAAAGAGAGAGCGAGCTGTATAACAAGTTCACACACACACACGTACATAGACAATGATTAGCAAAAACTAGCGATGATAGTCTTTCAGTACAATGCGCTTAGCCGATAGTTGCAATCGATAGTTATGCTTAACTGAACACGACGAACAATATATAAAATAAACAACTAATAGAGCAAGACATACACACACACGCGCGCGCAAACTGTAGAACAAAAAATGAAAGAGACAGAGAGAGAGAGAGAGAGAGAGAAAAAGACAAAGAGAGAGAGAGCGAGACAGGTAGACAAACATAATACACAGATGCTTAACAAAAATATATGAGGAAAAAAAAGAAACAGTTGCAAATTTGTTTTTCTATATTTATTTATTAATTAATAATGTTTTATTTTTATTTTTATTTTGATATCATCTTTGTTGCTTAATACAAAAATTTAACTAAAGAAATTGAAAAAAAAAAAAATAGTTAAATCATAAATGGATGAAGCACAACTAAGCAAGTTAAACGATATAAATATGCATATATATATATATATCCGTTTGTCTGTTATATGTATATATAATTCGAGTTTTATTACAATTCTTGATTTTTTCTATTTGTAAATATATTTTTTTTGTATTAAAAATTAGTTATTACAAAAATATGCATTTGAAACGTGAAAAACTTTTGTGATTAATGCACACACACAAAAATATAAAAAAAATTAATTAATTCAACTAAATTATGGAAAAAAAAAATTAAAATATTAAATTTTAATTTTTTTTTTTTTAAATTTTAAAATTAATAATTAAGTAAATGCTTATGAATCGTAGTAGAAAACACAAAAAAGTTCAGTTCACACAAAATATTACAATATACGGTATACAAAGGAGTTGGGAGCATGGGAGAGCGAGAGAGCGATAGAGAGAGAAAGAGAGAGAGGGAGCGAGAGAGAGCGCGCAGAGCTCACAACACAATTTGATGTTGACACTTAAACAAAATGGAATTCTGTGATGTTTCTTCATGTGTGTGTGTGTGTGTGTGTGAGTGATGATGTCTTTGTGTGTGTGTGTGGGTGTGAGCGGGACAACACTTGTGAGAAATGTTGAGCAAATATTTACTTTGCATACTTTGCTTGACTCTTAGCTCAGTGTAGAATAGAAAATAAAAGGGAAAGGAAAACAGTGTTGTACAACGCCAGTTGAAAGTATGCAGTGAACTTGTGCCAGCGACATAGTTCACATCATATTTCTGCTGTTCTTTTAGTTTTTACTTTGCTGGAATGTCAATTTATGGGAGGTTGTAACGGTGGGCGGGTTTGGGCGTGGCACTGAAATTAGCCTTAGTTCTTTTAGATTAGCACAAAAAGAGAGCATGCAAAAAGGTTCACAGCGAAATGGAACGAAAAATGCGAGAAAAAAAAGAAACAACTGCAAATTACACAGTCAGAAATAACTGGGATACTTTCTTGTAGAATTATCGATAGAAATCAGAGAAAAGTTTATATAGAGACAGAGAGAGAGAGAAATAGAGAAAGAGCAGAGTGAGCAGAGAAAATATTTTGGTTTTTTTTTACACTGAACTAAAAACAAAAAACTAAAAAAGGAAGTTGAAGAAATATACACTACAAAAAAATTGTATGCAAAAGTTATTGTACTCGCTATAATTTATATATATATATACGTTGGATACGTTCAAAAATAGTTTTATATATATCTATATAATATATATATATATAAAGTTATGTATATATATATATCTGTATATTAAGAGATAGTATGCATGTATATTCAAGAATTTGCGTAAGTATTTTTGCTGATTTCGTTTTACTCAAAGTTTCACGCTATCGATAACGAGTGATCGATAATGCTATCGTTGCAAATTTAAGGATATATTTGAATGATTCTTACAGATATTCGATGCTCTTGTTATCGAAAAGCCAATTATGATCGATTTAAGGCCGAATAGATATTCAAGATTCTCAGTTTGAAGTGATCGATAATGATATCGTTATAGATTTGGTTTTTATCCGAGTCCGGCTATCGATAACAACTAACAACAATAGTATATTACTATCGATAATGTGTGATTATCGGCTGTTAGTTTTGGTATTGTTTTTGTTTTTGTTTTTGATAGTTATCAAGTGTGCTCGCTATCGATAGCGTATGATTGATAACACTATAGTTATCGAATTCAGGCTAATGTTTTTTGTTTTTGTTTCTGTTATACTCAATAGTTATTTCAATTAGATTTTATGCAAATGGTTTATGATCATTGACAGGCAAAAAGAAACCGAACCGATTTATCGATATACATGTGAATCGCTTCGATTTGTTTTCGCTTTAGGCTAACATTGTGGTTAGGGCACTAAGTAAGGTAATGCTGATTGTTGTGGCCAGCGCAATGATTGTTGTTGTTGTTGCTGTTGTTGTTGATGTTGTTGCTGTTCTTGTTGTTGTGATTGTGAGTTGTTTGTGTAGCGAACTGACGCCAGAATTGAAACCAGCCGAATAGAGCAACGTGCCCAGATTGTTATTAGCTGAATCGGACTCACCTCGTGTCGTTTTCATAATGATCGATGCCGGCGACGAATAGCCAATGGCATTGTGCGCCTTCAGCTCGATGCGATAATACGTATTGCCACTCAGATCGGTCATCTGGTACGATGTGGTCTCGACCACCTCGACCGTATTGCAGCGATCCTCAAGCTCATGCCAGGTGCCAGCCATCTTAACGCCCTGCAAATCGATAACACATATGAGTAAGTACAATCTAGACAGAATTTCCCTTTGTTCCCCCCACTTACCGGACAGTACTTGATCTGGTAGCGGTCGATGGGCTCGCCGTTGTCGGCGGGCACACCCCAGCGCAGCTCAAAGTGATCGGAATAGGGCGACACTACCACCGGCTCTTCCTTATCGTTCTGCTCGGGTCTGTGCAGGGGCTTCGGCTCCTCGGGTGCCGAGCGACGCGGCGTCGACTGCTGCTGATTGACGCCCCAGTTGCCCAGGCCGACCTGATTGCGTGCCGCAAAACGGAAGCTGTACATCGTCTGTGGGCGTAGTCCCTCAACAATATAGGGCGAGTCGGGTGACCAGCTGCGATTCAGGGCTGTCGACCAATCCGGATTGTTGACCTCCTTGTACTGCACGCTGTACGCGAGAATGGGCAGGCCAAGCTCGGTGGGCGGGCCGCGGATGTCAAAGGTTATGGTCGTTGCGGTCAGCTGGCGTGGCACCGCAGCTGCCACAAAGTCCGGCACGCGCGCCTCCTTCAGCTGCATGTCGTGCTCGGCGGTGCCATGAATGTTGGTCGCAATGCACTTGTAGGCCGAATAATACTGACGCGTCACCGGATGCACAATGAGATCGCTGCGCGGGCCGGTGCCTTCGATTTTGAGGTTCGTGTCGTACAGGTCCTTGATGTTGCGTCCATTCCAGCGCCATTCGATGGTGGCGTTCGGTATGCCCATGGCCAGGCAGCTCAGATTGGCTATGCGCTGCTCCCAGCTGAACACTGGCGGCAGCTCCTTCATGTGCGAAAAGTCCGGTGCGAACTCTATGGCAATGTGTCCCGTCTTAAAGGCCGTATCGCCCTTGTTCGTCGCAATGCACTGGTAGAGGCCGTCGTCGGTGCGCTGGGAGCGAGCAATGCGCAGTGTGCCCGTACTCTCGCCGCGCTCCTCATCGAAGTATTGCTCGAGGGTAATGCGCTCGTCGTCCATCTGTATGCCGGGCGTGTACTGCTGCTCGGTGCCCCAGCGACGGAAGCTGATGGCCGGTGCTGGACGTCCCTTGGAGCGGCAAGTGATGGCAATTTCCTTGCCACTAACGCCCGTCACATTGTACAGCTCGTAGATGGAGGGGCGCACCAGGACATTCAATTTGGTCTTCTGATCGACGACGCCGGCACCGTTCCTGGCTATGCACGTGTATGTGTCGTAGTCCTCCTGGGTAACCGAACTGATGGTCATCAGGCCCGTCTGGGCGTTCACCGTGAAGCGGTCGGCCGTCGCCACATTCAGCTGCTCCGACTGCTTGATCCAGCTGATTTCCGGCACCGGCTTACCAATGGCCGTACAATTGGCAGCAAACGGCTTGCCCTCGACGGCCTCCAGCTGGGCCGGCAGATGGGTAATCACCGGGGCAATGTAGACCTCGACGCGTATGGTGCGCTCCAGCAGCTCGCCAGTCTCAATGACTGCGGCACGGCAGGTGTAGATGCCATCGTCGGTCTCGGCCACGTTGCGTATCAACAGGCCATGTGTCTGCACCACGTACTTGGCATCTGTGCGTATCTGTGGGCGGAGAGGAGAGCCGGCGAGGCGGAGTCAGATGAGAGATGCAGTGCGACTGCAGGACGAACTTTAGCTCTATATGTGTATATGTAGGTGTACTTACCGGGTCGCCGTTGCGCAGCCAGTCAATGGTTGGATTGGGATCGGCTTTCACCTCGCACTTCACCACATAGTCGGAGCCGAGTATTGGGAATTGATTCTCTGGCGCATTTGTCCAGGTAATGGCCACTGCAATGAAAAGTCGAGATGTCAACAAACGCTTGCCTAACGTGCCGTATACGTAATATAATTTCAAACAAACTGTTGAAGGCGCAGGCAAAGAAACTCCCTCCCTCAGAAAAAAGGCAAACCCCAAGCCCCGAGCTGACGTCTTTGATATGTTCACGTATTTGTTAGCCCTGGCATTCAACTAAACCAAAACATGACCCAACATGGCCAACAACAAGTTTTTGCCGCAATCCAGCGGCTCTTGCGCTCGAAGGGTCATTAACGAGCCCGACGAGTGCGACGCTGTCGGAGGACGTCGCTTGTCCTCGTGGCATGCCAATAAATCTCTGTGGCAGTAGCACAAATTGCAAAAAAAAAAAAAAAAAACGAAGCAGAGCAAACGAAATAAATGAAAAAAATTGCTAACTCAAATTCCTAAATCAAATACTTGAGCACAAACACAGCAGCTCGTCGCTCGCAGTTCGCAGTTCGGACAGTCGGACAGCCAGTCAGCTAGTCAGCCAGCAAATCGAAGCTGAGACAGCCAAGTTAAGGCGCAAAGTAAAATATTTTTGTAGAAAACGAACTGCTTAATATCCGTACAGTAGCTGCTCCGAGCTGGGGCAGAGCTGGAGGCGGAGTGGGACGAGGAGGAGCTGTGCAGAGCTTCAGGTGCAGTTTTATTGGCACAGTTCAGTGACTCTATGCGATTCATTTGGCTTAATGATAGCAATGCGAGCTTTTGCCATAGAAATCGCATTGCCCTAAACAGCCATAAATATGACAAAGCGCTTTTGGAGCAAATAGTAAAGGATTTTCTGGTTGTCCTATGTGATGTCAAGACCTTAAAGTGAGATCCTCAAAGAATTTGCAAGTTTGCTTCAAGCATCTACATAATCTAGAGCAACTTGTGGCGGAAATTTTTAGGCTTCCAAGTTTGAAGCGTTCGACTGAAAGGAGTAGAGTCAAAGACTTGTCTAAAATTGTTCAAGAGAAATTTCATTTAAGCACTAAACATAAACACTCGATAAATTGTACGTCGATAAATCGAAGATCACGATTAGTCGACAACAATTTTATGCCCTTGATGGAATAATTTCTGTGTGAGTGGAACAAAAACTGTTCCTCCTGCAATTTCGAATTATCAGGATTAACCACATAAGTTACCAAATAGTTAAATTGAGCTCAACTGTACTCAATGGTCGATCATGTAAGCAGTGCAGTTTAATAACTCTCGCCTAAGCAGTTCAGTTTTTATACCCTGAACCCATTGAAAATGGGAAATCAGGCTATAATGTTTTGTGTTCACATTACATTACATTAGAATGGATTCCCAGGTAGTAGGGACTTGAGTGCAGGATCTTCTGTATAATATGTGTAAGCGAGATGAGGTCCAGCAGTTTATCTCTGTGTCGAGCTAAAGCAATCTAATAAGTTTTCTAATAGATTGAACGAGTCAAAGTTTACTTTGGCCAGCTGGGTAATCCCTGCTGCAACAATAATTCCTGCTCAACAGCGAGAGACTGGCGTCTAATCAATCACACACAGAGCTCTAGTAATCCTGCCCTCAAATCTTTCAAATTTCAGTTAAATGAATTTCATAGTTCTGTCTCAAGTCACGTAGTTGGCGCAGCTTAAAGCAATGCTCGGTCTCCCATTCTCTCCCATTCTCTCCCTCTCTCTCTCTCTCTCTCGCTATATCCATTTCCAACTCGTTGACTGTTGTCACAGTTTGGCTGATTGTTTTTATTTAGCTGTTTACTGCTGGCACAGCTTTTGGGGCCACCCAGAATGTCTGCGGTTGCCGAGAGCCAAACAGAAATCCAATTGCTGCTGTCTGATTTTTAATAACTTGCTGCAGTTTCAATTTTTTATATAGCCTACATATATATATAGACAATGTTTGGGTGGAGCAACTTTTTCAATAAGTTGCGAGTCGATGCCGGTGTTTGGTTCGTGTCCTTTGCCCTCTGCCCTCTGCCCTGTGCCCTGTGCCCTGGCGCTGTCCTTGTCGTTGTTCAAACTAATAATGAAATCGTAAACTAGTTCATCTTTTTGCTTATTTTCCTTTGCTGTGTGCTTCGTTGCCGTTGTTGTTGTTTGTCAGACGTCAGCGAAAAGTGTTTGCACAACAAAATCTCACACGCAGCGACAATGCTGACAACAACAACAACAACAACGACATTGAGGCAAAAGCAGCTGCAGTTTGTTTGCCTTTGGCTTGAGCTTCGAGTCCGGCTAAGAAACATTTTCAGACAGCAACTTTTATTTATTTTATGTGTTGCACACACAGAGAGAAAGAGAGAGAGAGAGAGAGAGAGAGAGAGAGAGAGAGAGAGAGAGAGAGAGAGAGAGCGAGAGAGAGAGATACACATGAGGCATGCCAATAAAATTGGGAAATGGAAAAATGTTTTTTAACACAACTTCCCGTTTGGCTTTGGCCATAAAAAGGCCGGACAGCAGGATTTGGCTTGAAAAAAAAAGAAGACCATTTGCACCCACTGCACTCTGTCCCTCCCCCTCTGTCCCTCCCTCTCTGTCTCTGTCTCGCTCCCTCGCTGTGCTCGCTGTGTGCATTGTTTGACAGTCAACAGACAGCTGAGTTAGATAGACAGATGGCTTGTTATTACACTGATTTATAAATAAACTGTAAATATTTGAGCTGCACACACACACACACACACACATGCAGCTTCATCATCCTTATTCCACTCTTCTTACGCTTTGCTCTGCGGCCGCAAAGCGATCTGCACAATTTCCGCTCAGGAAATAAGGCAAAACTTCTGTAGCATTCCACTCCATCAACAGCACGACGCTGCAGCCACTTAGACTACCTCCAGCTATATATCATATATTTTTTATAAATTCCCCCTCCCCCCACTTTTTTTCGCCACTTAGCAACCGACGCCATGGAAATGCAGCCAAATATCTTGTTAAGGCGCTCAACTAAGTTGGCCAAAATGAGGAAAGTGTTTAGGGTCTCAGTGGAGAGCTACTCAACAACAATTTTTGTCTCTTGCTTTTTATATTAAAAAAAATGTATTCTAGTTATGAATTTCCCGAAAAATATTTTCTCCAAAAAATTAATCACAATTTGCAGAAATGTTTCTGAAAATTCAAACTCTAGACTTAAGTCCCATCAAATCTTTAAGCTCAGCGACTGCTGATGCAGTTTAAAGTCGCTTAAATTTCACTCGGCCTGGGCAGTTTTTCAATTAGTTAACTTGACAGTGGCGAGCGGGCCAAAGGAAATCGGCTTAAGTGCTTACTCAATGAAAAGAAACAAGAGTTTCAAATATTTATGGAATGTGGAATATGAAGTGGAGACACACTATCAATTGGTCTCATTAAGACGTCAGAATTTTGTCATATTTTACGGCATTTAATCGTAGTAGGAGAGCTTTAAAAGCGACAGACAGAGTGAGAGAGAGAGAGAGAGAGAGAGAGATAGATAGTGGTGAGGAGTGGGCGCAGTAGCAGATAGAGTCCGAGTTGGGAGCGAAAGTTGAGCGCACTTTTGGCAACATCGGAAGTTGCCATTGCAACGGAAGTTTGCTTGCAGCATATGCATTTATTAAAAGCATAAATATTGAAATATTAAGCTCTGAGTGCCACAAACAACAACAACAGGAGCAGCAGGAGCAGCAGGAGCCGCAGGAGCAGCAACAGCCAAAGCAGTCTCCATGTGTGTAAATAGTTGGATGGCACCTACAGCTGCTAGTGGCGACTACTTGACAAGAAGAAGAAGAAGAAGAAGAGGCAGATGAGGGAGAACAAGTAGAACTACAGCAACTTCAACATCTATTCGCAATTTGCACTGCTCTCTATGGCTCCCCCTCTCTCACATATTTGCTTAGCTAAATGCAACTTTGGAGCTGTCAACATACAATGACAGCAGTAAACCCACTCAGTGCCCACATATCAACCAACCCAGCAACCCACCAACCACCCACCCACACACACGCACGCACACACGCACACACGCTCGTTATCGAGCTGAGTTTGCTAAATAATTGCAAGTTTAACAACACTGTCCGAATTGTATACGAAGTTTAAAGCAGCCCAAGGCAACACAATGAACGTTAGCCAACACTGTTTGCACAAATCAACACTGTTTAGCTTGTATTCCTTACACATGGCAAACAATAAAAGTTTGCTATCTTTGTTAAAATCTATTGTAGTGTTAGCAAACACTGTTTGCGTTGACCAACACTGTTCGAGGTTAGCTTAAACATTACAACGCTTTAAAGTGTGCTGTGATCCAGCTGCATCGTTTACACAGCCTTAACTGCCTTAACTGTTTGGCATTGTACAACACTGTGTATTGTCTTGTTTTCACTGCGCCTCGCTCGACGCTTCGACATCGTGTACACACAATAGCCAAAATAAACAAAATACGGTGCCTGGCTAGCCCGTTGGGTCAAATCCCAGCCGCCTTCTGTTTGTGCGAAAACAACGTTTAACAACACTGGCTTGGCTTGCCTTGCCTTGCCTTGCCCTGCCTTGACTTGCTTGGCCTGGCCTGCCTTAAATTCTTGCGTATCAAAATATTTGATTTCATTTCAAACGCATTGCATATAGTACGAGTGAACTACCTACTACTGGTCGGAACGTAACGCTCAGGCTACTGGGAACTCTAGCTAGTAAATTCCTCACATGTGCAAGTGAGAGAGAGCGTGAGGTAGAGGCGGAGAGGGAGGTAGAGGCAGAGAAGGAGGTAGAGCATAGGCGGGAGGGAGGTAGAGCCAAGGCTCCCGCCTCCTGGTAGAGCCAAGACAGGAGGTAGAGGCCGAGAGGGAGGTAGAGCCAAGGCGGGAGGTAGAGGCCGAGAGCTGTTGGCGTTCTGTTTGAACAATCGATGTCGGCTCCTGTCGAAGCGTTAAAAGTTCTTGCTGGCAGATTGGGCAAGGGCCGATGAGGGCGGGGCACCTTAGGGCCAGGGAATGGGGTGATAGGTTGCACTGGTTCGTGTGCACTTTAAATTGCTTAGAAAAATCAATTTCGTCAAAGTTTTTCAGCCAAGAGCTGGTAGCGACGCCAATGCCACTTATGCGCACTTTTCTAAAGCTTCGCACAGCAAAGTTAACGAGCCAGCAAACTGTATATGTGTGTGTGTGTGTGTGGCACTTGTTGTGCTTGAGCATTGTTGCTGTTGATGCTGTTTATTGGTAACGTCTTTGTTTGGACTTCCATCCATTTGAGCTGTAGTTCTTTTGTGTTCGCTCACAATGCATCAATAAAATCGAAATCAAACTAAAATCAACGTGTTTTCCTCTTAGCCAGAGCATCGCTGTGCACAACTGTACTTGAGTGTCGCTGACACTCACACAGAGAGATGACAAAAAGCTGTTTGTTTTGACTACTACATAAATATATATGTATATGTATATTAAATTCTATTTGCTAGCATATACTTGATTTGATCAAAGGGCTTTTCTCCATTGTCTGCTGTCATTCATGTCATTTGTAAAATGTTCAGAATGTTTCGTCTTTGGCATGGATGGATAAATACTTGTATGATTCAGCCTCTACCACTTTATCAGTTCAGAAACAGAAACATTCTAGTTGAACTACTTTGATTATTGTATTGAAAGTGCAGCTTAGATGGCTTGAAATAAAGCATTTAATAACGGACCTTGTGTCTGAGAGAGATTAAGAGAGAAGGAGCAATATAAATACGAGTTGGGATATACGAGAAAGAGGGAGAGAGAGAGTGAGAGAGTGAGAGCCAGAGAGAGAGAGAGGCGAGGCGATTGATAGAGAACGAAAGAGAGATGGGAAAGACAGGAAAGTTACAGGAAAAAAGAAGAGAGAGCGAGAGAGAGAGAGAGAGAGGGAGTGAAAAAGAGAGAGGAAAAAAAGAGAGAGAGAAAGAGTGAAATTAAAGTAGCAGGAGAAGAGTGTGAGGGGGTTAAGTACAGAGGAAGGGGCGAGGCGATAGATAGAGAAATCAAGAAATGGGGGAAAGACAGGAAAGTTACAGGATAAGAGAGAAAGAGAGAGAGAGAGAAAGAGTGAGCACAGTTGAAAGGAAACGAGATTTGAGAGATAGATAGACTATGATAATATATTTAATAAGAAAGAGTAAGAGAGAGGGAGAGGAAGAGGTAGACATAAAGAGAGAGAGAGCGAGTGACATAGAGAGAGAGAGAAAGAGTGACATAAAGAGAGAGAGGCGTGACATAGTTTGATGTCAAGAAAGATTGAATAAAACAACAAATGGCAAGCTGAAACTTTACACTTATGCCAGAAGGAGAGAGACAGAGAGAGATAGAGAGAGAGAAAGAGAGATGAAGATGGAGTAGTTGAGCGTCATCTCTACTGTCAGTACAGCAACCCAGCTAAGTTGATTGGCTTCCAGCTTGCCAGCAAAGTTCTTGGGCCAACGCACAAGAGGTGGGCGTGGCTGTGTGGGTGGGTGGCCAGGTGGGCAGGTGAAGAAAGTATGGCTACTTACCATAAGTTTTAATCGTAACGCTTGTTTGGAGTATTTCGGTATTAGCATATGAAGCCGTGCAATAATATTTGCCGCCCATTTCGCTGGTGAGCGCGGTAATCATCAGGCCCAAACTTTCGCCGGGCAGCGTCTCCGTGTACATGGGCGGATGGTTGCGTCCCGTGCTGTGGCAGCGAGCAAGCAGGAGAGAGAGCGCGAGAGCGAGAGAGAGGGAGATAAAAGAAATTGTTTCGTATTATTAGTAGAGCATAATATGAAAGTTGTTGTTGTTGTTGTTGCTGTTGTTGTATATAATGTTGATGCTTATGATTATAATAATTGTTATGAGCATTGTCGTTGTTAGTAGATTGCGTTTTGCTGTTGTTGTTGTTGTTGTTGCTGTTGGGTTTTCATCCTTTGCATCTTTTCTCATTTGCATGCCACGCATTCCATTTCCCACTTTGCTTTTCCTTTTGGTCATAACAATTACAGAAAATTAAAAGAAAATTGCGTTTTGGGGCGTGGCATCATATATATCCGCTTTACTTTTTTTTGCTTTAGCTTAAGCAACAGTTTTTCTTTTTCCTTTCCTAACGGGTAACATTGCCCTGAGGACAACATCAAAAGTAACTTTTTTTCGGGTTGGAATCTTAAAATGTTGCATAAATTCTCTAAAAAGTTGCAAAGCTGAGAGGCTCTGGGCATATTTGCAGCTCTTCTTCTTGAAGTGCTGCACATAAAATTTCAATCAAAGCCGAAGCTAGGCTTGGATTAATGATGCGGTAATCGGTAGCCAGGTTGCAGCAGCAGTTAAAGTTATCGATAACACACGCATTTCCCAAAGGCTCCCTGAGATTTGCCGAATGAGTATTGAATACTCCAAAGGCTGTTCAGCTTCTAGTCCCTTGGGGTTACTCACATTTGCAATGGGGTAGAGGTCCACCATGAATATTTGGCAGTTAATGACAATTTGCTCGATTGCAATAAACAGCATAAACTATTTGCATTTGGTTGTTGGGTCGCTGGCGAAATTCGAGCAGTTTGCGCGTATCGTGCGAAATAATTTGCACACATTTCGCAATTACTCTGGCGACCCTCGCCGCCCTGGCCCACTGTGCATGTGCGACAAAACAATTTGCCACACGCGCAGGCGTTGCGCATTAAAAACTTTTCGCCAGCTCCTGCGCCATTCGCTATGCCGTTTGCAGCAGCGACTCTGTCGCCGCCTCCTCCTGCTCCTGCTCAATACTTTTTGGATAAAAATTGCCAAAAAAAAAAACCGAAACTAGGAAAATACTCGTACATAACCATTGCCTGATGCCAAGTGCCGAATGTCGAGCAGGAGGCGGCGGAAGAGGGGCGCGGCGGCGGGACGGCTGTACAAGGCACGTACTAATTAATTAAAAAACTTTTGTTGCGCAAAACTAAATATGCATAGCGGTTATTATTATGGCTTCACTTTGTAAGCCTAGCCAGTAAACCCCACCCCTTGTCCACCCGCCCACCAAAAAGAGAGAAAAAAAACTCCAGCTGCAAAATAAAACAGGCTGCAAAAGTTTCGAGCCAAACGTAAATGAACAATTTTTGGCTATGGCAAAGTTTCTCCCGAACTGAACCAGTGACTGCCTAAAGCTAAAAAGGCATAAATACTAAATAGTCCAAAGCCGCGAGTAGCGCTTAGTGCATGGAGACTAACGACTAGCAATTTCTTGCATACATTTGCTATATTATTGACTGAGGCATGAACAATTACTAGCAGAAGGCAGCGAGTAGCGAGTAGCGAGTGGATGGTAACGAGTAACGAATTCAGCGAGTAGTGAATGGGAGCTAACGAGTAGCGAGTCCCTGCATACTTGTGTATATTACGAAGGCACTGCTAACTGTACTAGAAGAAGGCAGCGAGTTGATTGTAACGAGTAGCGAGTAGTGAGTGGATGGTAACGAGTAGCGAGTGGAGTGCAACGAGTAACGAACTCAAGCATTCTAGAAGAACACACTTGATCTAACTATAAGTAGCTAGAGTTCGTACTAGTAGCAGGCTGCAAACTTAAAGGTAACGAGTGATATGTAGCGAGTAGCGAGTAGGGAATGGAAACTAACGAGTAGCGATTCCCTGCATACTTATGTATATTACTAACGCAAAAAGAACTATTAGCTATACTAGAAGAAGGCAGCGAGTAGCTAGTAGTGAGTGAATACTAGCGAGAAGCTAGTAACGAATAGTGAGTGTAGTGCAACGAGTAGCGAACTCAAATATTCTCGAAGATGAAAATTTATTTGCCTATAAGTAGCTGGAGTTCGTATCAGTCCTAGACTGCAGACGAATAAACGTAAAAGTAACGAGTGAGAAGTAGCGAGTAGCAGATGAAGCTATATGAAATGCGTAACGAATTGATAAACATGTATCACAGTTTAAGTTTTCCTCCATGAGTAGAGACTTAAGCGTGACAATAGACATACTTCCTAAATATGTATTCCAGAGTACCAACTGAACCGAGTTAAAAGAATGAGGAAGACAGGGAGTGCAGCTAGCGCCTAGCCTAGTAACGATTAGCGAGTAGTAGCAACATTGAGCTGCAAGTGGCGAGCTGAGCTCAAGCTGTGGAGTAGCGAGTCTAGATTTATCGATTTAGCATATATAGATATAGCTAGTTGGCTAAAGTCATGAGTCTTAGTTACTAGCTGAAGTCAAAGAGGAACTCAGAGTGACGAGCGAGAAAACTTTACTCACTCCGGCAGCAAATTGTAGAGCAAACTTAACTTTAAACAACTCGTATAGAGCTGGCTGAAAGCACGATTCTTAAATCAAATTGAAAGCAAGTCAAATAAAAGGGCTAGCATTTCGTATAGTCTCTGTATATTACATATAACTAAAAGCATCTTTCATAAACTATAAACAAGAATTGAATCTTTGCTTTGAGGTGCTTAAAAACTTTTTACTTCAACTTGACTGCAGCTTAACTTCAACTATTGTGTTTGCCTTTGACAGTGCCACGAAAAGTGTATGTATGTGTGTGTGTGTGTGTGTGCGTGTATGTGTGCGTGTTATGGAATTCGTGAGATTGAGCACAGGCTGCGTTCGATTTGCAATTCGCAATTGTTGCCAAAAAATGCAAAGAGCGACGCGTTATATGTTTGCCTGACAAAATCACACACACACACACACACATACATACTCGACACACACACACACACAGAGAGAAAACATGTTTGCAGCACCGAAAATTATGCTAACAAAAAGTCTTCAGCGACAATGCAAAATAAAAATAAAATCTTTTTTTGGCGTTTTTTTTCTTTGGCTCTTTCGTTTCGTTTGTTTTCCTTCTTTCGAATTTTTTTTTGGGGAAAGCGCAGAAAAATTGAAAGAAAATAGGGAAAAATAAAAAATGGCAACCGCAACGCACAGCGGAAGACATTGCGGGATAAATTTTGCTGCATATTTGCGCTGGATTTTTAATATTGCGCCAAACGGCGCGCACACAGAGGGAAAACTGGAGCAAAGGGTGGAAAAACAGGGCAGGCGGAGGGGGTGCGGTCGATAGGAGTTAGGGGCGTCAAGGGGCGGCTGAGGCAGCCGAAGTCAAGGCAAACAAACAAGAGCGAAAAACAGTTACGCATACGTAAAAATCAAATTTTTGATTGTCTTTAGGGGAATCGAGAAAGCAAAAGAGGGCGAGAGAGAAAAGGGGGGCAGTCGGGCAGAGAGGGAACTTTGTTAGGGGTAGATTGCTGTCGCCATTTTGGCGCCTTGCGGCAGGCTACGACATTTTTTATTGCATTTCGTTTGCCCAAGATGCGAATAAAGATGTTATTGTTCTGGCTTGACTTTCCCAGCCCGCTTCATTTGTGTTTGCCATTGGGCGCAGGGCGCGGGAGGCGGGAGGTGGCGGGGGACGCTTTAAGTCTCAATGCAAGTCAAGTGCTGCAGTTTGGCCAAAGGACGAGCGCTTCAGCGCACAAAAGTTATGTCAAATCAGGCACAATTACGATGTACCAAAGCGATTGACTCGACTGACAGAGAGGGAGAGGTGCAGAGAGAGAGAGAGAGAGGGAAAGTGAGAGAGAGAGGCAGCGAAAGGGCAGCTTTGAAAACTGCATCAAGGCGTTTGGAATGATATTTGCTGAGAGAAGTTTTCATAGAGTTGAATTGAAATGGAACAGGCTAACGATTGAGCTGAGCGGATAAAGACGGTGTTGGTAGAGTTGCAGATCTCAAGCAAGTCAGATTAGATAGCTGTAGTCAGACGTTAGCGAGTGCTACAACCTGGCTAGATCTAAGCACTTGCCCCCTCTAGTTGGCTATATCTTATGCGAGCAGAGGGAGTCCACAATGCAATCTCCAAGTCTCTGGCTTCAAATGGAGAGCAATACCGTTTCAGTCACAAGTTTCCAATCGATAATTGATTGATAATTGAATTGAAATTAATCTACTCTCATTGTGGTAGAGCCACAGAGCACATAGACGTTCTGACTGAGTGTAATCAAATGTGAAGTCCTCTATAATAAGCTCATAGATAGATAGAGTTCACATTCGATAACTCTAAGCCTGAGCGTCTATTTGCTCTGTAGCTCTACCGCAATGAGAGAAGATTGATTTCAATTTGTAGTTAAGAGTCGATTTCGGACCTGCATAAGCCCTCCATCGGCTATAGCTAGGCAGGACTAATAGCCAGGTTTGCTGATGATAAAGCCCAAGCAGAGATCACTTCAAACAGAGAGATATACTCCAGCCAGCATTTCGATAAGCCGCTCAGTGTCTGGCACTACATGTTTCAAAATTGCATCAGCAATGAGCCGATGCGGGTCAAAAATCAAAAGGCCAAGAGACGCGCCAGCTGCCAGCCGCAGAGCTCGATGGGCGACTTAATCGCTTTAATTAACTGTAGCTGCAGCCTAACGTCCGACAAATGCGCGACTAACGGGGCCAACAGCCATGGTCAGGGCTGCAAAAAACCAACTTGAACGGAATGCGGCAGTTGGACAGAGGCGCATGGCGCACGACTCGTGGGTCGTGGCTCGTGGGGGGCGTGGCGCGGCTTCAGGCTGCCATTGCTCATTTTTTTCTGGGTGGTTTGTGCCCAGTTTTGGTAGCTTAATTACATTTTGCGCCTGCAAGTATGCAGCGCGTTGCCGGAGCCTGTCGAAAACTTCAATTGGAATCAACGCAGGCGGCGCTGCGTATTGTGTGGGCGTGACATGTGCGACGCCCGCGCACCCTCCACACACACCCACACACTCACACAAAGCAATTCGCGCATCTCTGGCTGTGTGTGTGTTTGTGCGGACTTTATTTAACAGCCAGCGTTGCCAGACTTTTCGGTTTTGTTTCATTACAGATTTTGGGGCCGGCCAAGGAGGCAGGCGGGCGTTTGGGCGGTCAGTGCGTGCGCCTAGAATGCGCCAATTTAACGGCCTGAAAATTGAAAACTTGCCAAGCTCAATAACCATTCCCCAGCATCTCTCTCCCCTCCCTCCCTCTGCCACCCTCTCCCTCCCTCTCTCTCTGTGTCGCTTATATGTATGTTTATTTCTTGGTCAGACATAGGCCAGAATTCGTTTTCCTCCAAATGCCTAGGCTGCGGCCCAACTCTTTTAGTTTCTACGCTAAGCGAAATGTGCTTTTGGTTTGGGTTTATGCTCGTTCAAGTTTCCTGAATGGGGTATATTGGCTTAGACAGGACATCTCTCAGTCTCTTTATGCATGAAATCTGTCAGTTAGCGGATTTACATATATGTGGAGTCTCTATATATTCATGTAGACATTGCATTACTTTATCTGAAGTTACTTTATCAACTAGAGCTCTAGCATATGGTTGACTAACATAGGTAGGGATTTATTTGGCAATGCTCGAAATATAGACACTCGATTATAAGCTTTTAGTTCACATAGCTTCCTGGTGGCTTCCTGGAGCCCTACAAACCTTTCCTTATTTAGACTTGAAACTTACTTCAGATTCCGTTTAAAGGTGGATCAACGATTCTGCATATATGACTTAGTTCAGGTTTGCATTAAACGGACATAACTAGTTGAGCTGCCAGCTGAGATCTACTGACTATTTAGGTTCTATCTGCACATAGACTTGTGGCTCATTGTTGAATCATACCATTTGAAAGCGTTATAAGAACTTAGCAGTTGCTGGGGTCAAGTGAGGGCAGGCTGCTTCCTCTATGCACTATAGATATTTAAGTCATATACTCCACCTTCCATGAAGTTCAGATATGTTTCTTGTTAACTTGACTTAAGGTTTGGCATATGTTTCACTATTCAAGTACAGCTTAGATCATATTTAGATCTGGCTCTAGGGGTAAACTTTTGGCTCACTTTTGGATTATCAAGTTTTGCTGCAATAAAACTCAATTTAATAGTCATCAATACCTATTTTAGTCTTTAATACCTATTTAGTCCTTAAATTGCTTAACATGAAGTTCGACTTCAAACTTTACATATTTTTAAATTCCATGTGAGCGAATTAATTTGATATAAACATTAAATTCAGTGTAATTACCAGGCAAAAGATGGCCGACTAAAGAGACAGAGAGCGAGAGAGGGAGAGGGAGAGGGAGAGGGGGAGGTAGTGAGGGTCAGAGTGAGAGAGAGAGACAATTGAATCTGTGAGCTTCACTGAGAGCAGCCCTTAAAATGCCTTCAGGCACGCACCCTGGCAGCATTTTTGTATGGCTCCTACCTAGGCCACGTCGTCGCCTGCAGCTCGCTGCGCACCTGCCCCTAGGCAAATTAATTAACACGTTTTCCGCTTTGTGCTCGGCCGAGTCCTGTCTAAAATTTGATTCAAGCTATTTGAGGCTGCTGCTGTTGCTGCTGCTTATAAATTTTTTTGCAAAAATAGCTTAGACCACTTTAAGGGCAAACGATCTGGCAGCACACACACACACACACGCAGAGATTCGAGTTAAGTTGGCTGCGCCACAGCAAGTGATGTGAAGTTGGCCGCACTTGAGCGCTTGCCGAGTTCCTTTTGCTGCTGCCTTAAGTTGGCTGCATTTGACTATTTCCGGTCCTGCATAGCTCTTGGCTGCGTCGGGGTACACGAGTGCATTAGGTTTATTTCCGCTGAGCTTGTTACGTAGCCCGCTTAACGGTGCACCTGGGCAGCAGCGTTTGCTTTGTTGTTGCTGGGTTCGCTGCATTTCCGCTCATTTTTATCGCACATTAAGTTGGCTGCGGCGCTGGACAAAATCTCAAGTGGGTTAAGTTGGCGTTGCTTACGTTAAGTTGGCTGCAGCTGAGCCACATGAAGTTGACTGCGCTCGTCCCAGTATTAGAGTTAAGTAAACAGCTCTACGTTCGTTTCGTTTCTTTTTCATGCGTATTACTAACATTCAAATAATGATGGAGCTTTCTTTCAGCTGAGCTACTCGATACTCGTACTATGCATTTTGATGGAGTTGCTATTGTGGTTAGTAGACAACGACTAGGAGTTGATGCGGCATGGGAGCTGCGATTAGTTCACATTGCATGATATCATATGAAATGGATGGGTTTTACGTTTTGGTATGTGAATGCTACGTTAGAGCCGAGGCGTAGGGCCATAAATAGAACACACAAATATACGTAGATGTATAGTTAACAACAAAACAAACATTTGTAAATACTTTGGAAACAAAACATGCCGGCAAACAAAACAACAGAGCTCGAGCGAGACAGAGAGAGTGTAAGAGAGGGGGGAAGAGGAGCGGGCACGTGCTCGTTATATCAACAAATTGGGAATTTTATACGTTTTTGCTGTTGTTGTTGTTGTTTTCATTACGTATGTATATGCGAGTAATTGTTGCTGTTATTCGAACTTTTGCTATTGCTTTTGCTGTTGCTGCTGTTGTCGGCACTTACACATTCTTTTTATTGCCCTTGGAATCATAGAGTGGATCATAATTGCTCCTACAGGAAGAACAAATAGGTGATTGTGTCATTTATACACACACAAATATATTTATATATATATACATGTACATACATGGGGGGAGACAGAGGGAGTAAATACATAAAGAGTAGTGCTCTTCAATAATCTGAAACTTACGGCTTGGGCAAAATGGTATTGTTCATATTGTCCTTCCATTGTAGATCGGTAACCAGGGCCTGGTCCGGCACATTCGGGCGACAGGTCAATATCAGCGACTTGCCAACGGGCTTGCGTTGCACTTCCTGTGTCGGATAGATCTGCAGTCTCGGTTCCTGCTGAGCGCTGCATAGCTCTGTGGAGAACAAGATGATGAAGAAAATCGTATTAGTTTGTGTACAAGTCTTCAGATGTCTAGGAACTAGACTTGGTATATGCATAGGTCGATTGGGTAAACTTTTTCGTCTCAGAGAATCATTTAATAAGGATAATTAGATAAAGATTTGTTAAGGATAACCTGATAAGGAATTGTATATTATTATATTATGTTATTGACTGAGTAGGTCTAGAAATTATGTGCTAAAGACCTATCTGTGTGAAGGTCTTTGGGTCTAGGTCTTACATATGCAATGAGGGAAGACAGAGGGATAGAGAGCTCTAGGGATGGACAGGTTAAGGTCTTACATCAAAAAGGAAGCAAGATGGGACAAACGCTTGGATAGACGGAGAGATGAGCAGAAGAAAGGATGGCAGACAAAGGGACAGATAGAAGGAAACATTTACATTAGGAAGTACATTAAAAGGAGAGACAGACCAAGCCTGGACTAAGTCGACTTTGCTGCTCTTACTAATTAGCGAATTCCTCGTGAATGCCAGCAAGCACTCCAACTCTGTTATATTTGGTTGACAGCTGATTGCTGGCGCCAAGCTGTCAGCCCGACAAGTTGTCAGGAGTCGGAAGAGGGTGGGAAAGTGAAGAGCATAGCATACTTTGCATATGTCTAAAAGCGAATCTCTTTGTTTCTTGCATGCGAAATATTTAACTCTTAAATATTTAATAAGCTTTTTTAATTCATTTCTGTTGCATGCGCGCGTGTGTCTCTGTGAGAGTAATTCAAATTTAAATTAATTTTAATTGCCACTGTGTGCGCGCGTGTGTTGGCGGTGGGCGGTGGGCGGGGCCACTGTTGCCATTTGCCCCATTGGCAAACAGACAATTACGGCGTAGAGGTAAATTATTAATTAAAGTACGCAGCAGCGCGGCTGCATAAAATGTAATTCCCACCCCCCAATCCCTCCCTCTCTCGCTTTTTTTGCATTTGTTTATTTTTTTTTGATATTTTATGCAAATTTATTATAGCACAAATGGGTGTGTATTATTAAAGAGCGGGCGAAAAATAACAATTTCAGTGCTCAACATAATTAATCAAAGCTTGTAACATTTTATTTTTTACAATATTTATGAATTTCAACTCGATATACCCAGTGAAAGTGTGCGTGTAGGGTATATTGGCCGACATGGTGTGTACTAGGATCTTTGATCAGCCTGGCAAGTCTTCCTTGATTGGCTAAGGCAGTGGAATGCATTGATTGGACAGAAGAGAGCATGTAGAATTCGTCTATCGAATGGATATACGGTCCGTCTGGGAATAACGGTTAACGTTTGGTTGAACTCACAGTACCATCCATTTGTTAATCGTAATTCTCGTTGCTTCATCTTTCTGTCCATCCCTCTCTTAGCTAATCCGTCCCTCTTCGTATCCATCCATAGTCGATAACTTTTCGATCAAAATCGATATACAACTGAAGCCTATTTCGCTCAATTTGAGAGCTAGCGTAATCAAATTTGATATAAATAGATAAGCTAGATGCATTCCATGGGGAATTCCAGCTTCACTCCTTGCACACCTCCAACAATTTCTGCAATTCTCTCGACTCGAGTTGGACTTTTTGCTGCAACTGTAAGTCACGCACGCTCTAGCCGAAAGTCAAGCATTTCACTTTTGTGTGTGTGACATGCAACAACTGTTGGCTAGCAGAAAATAAAAATAAATAAATGAAAGCAGTAGAAAAAGTTGCATATTGTTCTTTGGCTCTGCGCTAATTGCGGTCAATTAAACGCTTCGTGCTTGGGATCGCAGCGAAAGTTCAAGTTGAAGTTGAAGTTCACAAAACTTTAAGGCGTCAACTTTTTGCAGCTGCTGTTGCTTATTTCTGTTGTTGCTGTTGCTGTTGTTGTTGTCATTTTCATTATCATTTTCATTTTCATGAGCATTACAATTAAATGCCTTGGCTATTTGTTTGACACTTTATTGGAGCGACGACCGGCTGGCCGAGAGCAAAGTCATCTCAGCCAGCGCCAGCCGAGAAGCTGGCTCGAGCTGCTCGAGGGGCTTCTTTGAGGTACAGCCTGCGGTTAATGTGCGGCACTTAAGAGTGAAATTTATGTGCGATGGTCAGTGGCCACAGTGGCAGCAGCAAAGGGTGCGAGGGAGCGTGCAGCAGGAGTCGGCAGAGGGGTGGGGGGGAGGGCTTCAGCTGCCCATCTGGCGGCGGCTAAGCGCACAATCGTGTGGCACACGCTTGCCTGGCGCCCAGCGTGCATTTATCTTGCAACTTTATAGCTAAGCCCCCCCACCCCCCCAACAAATTTATCTCGCAGAGGGAGAGAGGGGGAGAGGGAGACAGAGAGCTAGCTAACAAAAAGAAAAACACGGAACAGATTCTCAGTGCACACTCGAGTGCATTATTCATTTAATGTAAATGAGTGCGCAACACACACACACACACACACTCACACACACACACACACACACATGCTGACACTCATTTGACTGTTGTTGTTGCTCTTCTTTTTTTGGAATACCCTTTGCATACGAAGCGAGCTTCTTGTTATTCATCACAGCCTCCGAAATCTGAATGATAAACGGCATAAAGTCAACTGCACTGGAACCCAACAAGCGCGATATTCAGACCGATAACAGTGTTGCAGCTGCTGTTGAAATTATCGATAACATGTCGATGCTGAAATACTTCAAGAGCTATGCCTTTTAAGCAGAGTGTGGGGTGTGGAAAGAACAGAAAAATCTGATGGAACTTCTGAATTGAAGAGCTGGATGGGATAGCATTAGATTTGGCTGCATTGGATGAGTCAATATATCGAAGAGTCAAGATATCGAAATGAAATCGAGGCAACCTTTTTGGTATGCTCTGCAATTACAGCCAGTATTACATGAGTCTAGCTTAAATAGAAGACCAAGAACTTCATAAAGTCCCCATCGATCCTTGTTCTATGGCAATATTCTCAAATTCTCTTGATTATTCCGTTTGTTTTCATGATGTTTTCCATTAACTACATTAATCTCTAAGCTCTAAGCAAGGATGCTTTGCCTCGCTCGATTTCCCTAGTTTGCCATTCAATTTCTAGGGTATTCCATCAGACACATTTGTCAGTTCTTCTTCTTCTTCTTCTGCTTGATTCTTGTTGCTCTGATATTTATTTATTTATCTCCCTTTTTGTTTTGTTGATAGTTTTAATATGTTCTTTTGCAGTTGGATTTTATATTATTTTTTTTTGTATTATTCAAGTGTTTTTGTTGTTGTTTTTTTCTTTCCATGACTGTTGTTTGGGGCAGCATGAATAAATTGTGGTCTTTGGCATTAAACTGAGCGCTGAATGCCAAAAAGGCAGCGTCAAGTGGCTCGCAAAATTAAATATGAGAAATTTATATGCAACGCTGCATCTACTTTCCATTCCAATTAATGTGCAGTGCAGTGCTGCAAAATGGTAGCAACAACAACAACAACAACAACAACAACAACAACAACAACAACAACAGCAGCAGCAATAAAGAGAGCAAGAGGAAGCAAAAGCATAGCACTTGAATACTCTGTAATAAAGTAGAGATGGAAGAACAAAAATTGAATTCATTTCGCGATTTGAGAAATTCTTTAGGTTGACAGCAAAAACAGATGGAAATTATGATCAAAGAATAGACAAGGAATACGAGGGAGAGAAAGAGAGTGAGAGAGAGAGAAAAAAGAGAGAGAAAGAGAAAGAGAGAGAGATAGGGGGTTAAGTGTAGAGAGAAATTTAATGGAGAGCAAATATAATATGTATATATGATAAATGGAGAGAGTGAGAGAAAAAGGAATATATATGTATATATGGATATGAAGATAGAAACCGATAGATATATATATATCGAAAGATAGAGAGAGAGAGAGAGAGAGACATATATATATATATATATAAATGGTTCCAGAGAGAAGAATATACACATATAGAGACAATAGAGAAGGACACATATAGAGAGAGTGAGACAAGAGAGAGATAATAGGGAGGCAGAGAGAGAGAGAGAGACTCATATAGAGACAGAAAGCTGAGGTAGAGGTTTGTTGAAAGTGAATAATAGAGGCACATAGAACGAGAGAGAAGATGGTAAAATAGTACGAGAGAAGAATAAAGAAGCGTAAAGAAAATGATAGAAGGAAAACACTGATATATAGAAGGGAGACAGAGAGAGAAAGAGAGAGAGAGAGAGAAAGATAGAGAGAGAGAGAGAGAGAGAGAGAGAGAGAGAGAGAGAGAGAGAATGCATTCCAAACAGAGAAACTCAAATTTGATTCAATTTGCATTGCTCTTGTCTTTCTCTCCCACTGTCTTTATTCTATCTTTCCGTCTCATTATCTTTCTCCTCTCCCGCCAATCAATTAATCCACAATAAATTGTCCATCTAATTCGCATCTAATTTCGCCTCGCACTCTGTGCGAATGGTTAACGCGCTTAACGGTGCTTGGCTCGAGTGGGTGACTGTGTGCTGTGTAGTGTTGTGTAGTGTTGTGTAGTGCGGTGTAGTGTTGTGTAGTGCAGTGCAGTCGTGGAGGTCACTTCAGCTCTGGCACTTAGCTAATATGCTCGACTGCTGCGTTGGAGTGGCAAAAGTCGCGATGCTAGAAAGCACTCGACGACGGCTGTTGCACCGGGCGTATGCTTAATTTATATATATTTTATTTTATTTTTTTATTTTTATTTTAATTTTTTTTTTTGTAAATGCATGCAGCATAAATAAAGAGGCGCCCCAAAGATAAAGTGTGCATGTGTGTGTGTGTGTGTGGGTGTGTGTGTGTGTTGGTGTGTGTGTGGGCGTGTGCATTGTGGGCGGCTTTCCGGCGCCGCATAAATAAACAAGCGGTTAAGAATTATCGCATGCAGACGCAGGCGATATGCCTGACACTCAACAAAAGCGAGGCGAGAAAGAGAGCGAGAGAGATGGCGTGAGAGACAGAGAGAGAGAGAGAGAGAGAGACAGAGACACATGGACACCATATGGCACTTCCTTGACGTCCTTTTTTGCCATTAAATGCGCCCAGGCACAACAATTATTGTTGAAAAAAAAAAAAAAAAAAAAAACAATTAACAATTGCGCATTAAAAACGA